GGAATGTACTGAATCTGTATACAGTTAAATTAAAAAAAAAACTGGATTCAGTTATGTGATTTTGTACAGCAGAAGTAAATCGGCTGTGTGTCTCAAAGCGCTTCAGAGAGAGCTTTTTCTTTGGTTCTGAAAAATTAATGAACTTGGTTTAATGTAGGAGAAAGCAAAAGAATGTAGTGCTTGCAAGAAAAGAGGTATGTGTGTGTGTGTGTGTTAGAGAGAAAGGGAGTCCTTTAGAGCTAGAGAATAATAACTGGGATCAGTGAGCCTTTTCTACCATGTGTGCTGAAATACGGAAGAAAAACTCAGAAGTGATTCACGGACAATGCCACCAATGTGGTCCTTAGTCCATAATGCGGATGGAAAAATCTACACTGGATAGAGCATATGTTCTTTTTTCTTAAAGTGTAATTTCATTTTCTTAATCCCACTGTAATTTATTTGCACATCACAGTGTGGGTGAAGCTCAAAAACGTTTTCTAGTGTCATTTGTGAAAGCAACCCCATTTCCGGTGCTGTTCCTCAGCAGATTCTTTGTCTCTTAGAAGGCATTAAGTGAATGCAAGGAAGATGCTTGTGGGAGTTGGTATAGATCTGTCGTTCCCCTGACTCTCCCTTTAATTTCCTCCCCACGTTCTCTCCCTTCCAGCATCCTCCACTGCTTTCTGTCATATCTGTTTAATTTGAGAATCAAACTGCCTGTAAGGAAAAGTCATGCTACAGACCTCAAAAACCACAGTGTTCAAATCCAGAAAATGGATTGCCTTTTTGTCTGAATATAGGAATGTCAGAATAATTTTTGTAAAGTGGAGATTGTGGTCTGTGGTCCCATGGGGTTTGTTTGGTTGTTTATTTATAATATTTTTGGCTGCCTTGAGAACAGCATGCAGTGTAAAACAATTTATCCCAATAAAAGTATATATACAAGCACGATAAACTATGCATATAATATAGCCAAGAGCCTTTTTCTTTAAAGTCGCAATTTCCATTTCTTCCCCCCACTCCTTTTTTTAAAACAGTAGCAATTTCCATTTTCTCCAGCAGAGCTACTCTTGACTTAAAAGAAAAGCTTTCCTATGTGAACAGAGCTTTCCTTGCTGACAAAAATTTTAGCAGATCAATGTGTGGATTTCCCCCCACCCCCCAGGACCTCCAGAATATACTATATTGTTTTCTTTACCTTCACAAGCCTTTATTCCATGCATACACATAAATCATAATCTGAGTTTGGAAAATTCCTGATTCTCCACAGATTAATTTAGTGACTAGAGATTCTAGGGCTTGTAGACTGCAAATGTAATATTTCATTGATCTAGTAATAATGGCTAAATACTATTCCTAGGATGAAGCAACTTCCTTCTTAATGCCAGTTTCTGGAGAACAGCAATAGGAAGCATTTATTAGGCTGCTGTGGGAAATAGTATTCTAGATATTAGATCCAATATGGCTGTTCTTTCACATTGTAGGATTTAGATAATGGAGCATTTCCCCCTCAAAGCAAAAATTAAACCAAAAATGCACAAGTCTGTCCTAAAACAAAAAGACCTATTAAGTATTCTTTGACCCAGGATTTTGTGGAGTGTAGCCTGTATCTTTATGTGCCCAGTGAAGTGGGTTGCATTTCACAAAAGCACATGCTAAATAACATTTGTCTTTAAGATGCCGCAGGACTGTGCTGGTTCTGTTGCATTATGAGCACAGCTACATCTTTGGGAGTTGATCGTAGTCCATTATGGTCATTCTTAAAGATTCATTTGTAGGAAACACCAGTGCATGAAAGAGTATCTTTTTGACTACATAGAAATGATGTGACTTTACCATATTGCTAAAATCTTGCATGGTCATGCTCCTTGGCCAGGGTTGTGTTGAACTGTGATGAAGCATATGCTTTACCAGCAGAGTTCCATGTTGTCTCCAGCATGCTGTTGTGCAGGTGGATACAATGCAATTGGAATGAGTGAAGTTTCTATTTACACAAGCAGGAGTGGCTTGACTCCTTATACTAGCTCAGAAATTGTCTGCTGAACCAGTGGTTCTACCAAGCAGGATTCTGGCCTTTGCACTGTTAATCATGTAATGTAGGATCTTAGCCTCAGGTAAAATCAAGAGAGTGTAGATTCACACACCAGCTGCATTTTTCAGATTTAAATTGTATGTATATTAAAGCTTGTGAACAATTGGGAGACAAGCTTTGACACAGTCTGCAGCACATACAGCAAGACTCAGCAAAGCCAATGAGATTATTCTTGAGTACATTGCATAATTGCATCTTAATAATTATCATTTAAAATATTTGTTAAATATAATGTTGGCAAATGATCATTGCTGCACACACTAGACAGATTCCCTGATGCTGGTGGCATGATTTCCATGACCATCACATATGTCATTGTGTAATTCCCCTCCAAACATAGTACAGTTGCTCTGTAAATTTGTCCTCACAAAGACGTGGGATAAATTAAGTAAACAGTAACTTATTCTTTCAGACTGGATCTGTTGATGCTCTTATTACCACACATAGAAAAATAGAACCATTAACTATTCTGATGTCTCTAAATCCATTTCTAAAACATGATAGTGAACAAATTTCACAAAGTGGACTCACTGGATATCAGGAACCATGAAGCTGTACATCAATCTGTCTTCTTTAATGATTCTTCTCATCTTGTCATTTCATTCCTCCTTGCCGTTCTCAGCTTGGCTGGTAGACAGCCATACTCCTTGGTTTGTAGAGACAATAATCTTGAAATAGCCGTTCATATTAATCTTATATTTTTATAGCTATAACATTGTCCAAGAGTTTTCTCTTACATGGGAGAGGGTGCCTACAAAACTATCTGTGATGCTTGTGCAAGCATGGTTGGGGGTCATCTGACAAACATGTCCAAGATTTATTGTGAATATGCCTGAATATCATAAATTTGGGATATAGAAGGAATTCTGCAGAATTATTAATGTGCTGTTCAGTTGAGTTCACTGGGACAGGCTTGTTCTGTGTAAGTGTGTCGTGGAGAGTTTGCAGAGTGCATGCAGCCTCGATAAAAATCAGCTGGCAGCCTGAATTGCATCATTTTGTTTTATTTTTGCTTAAAGCTCTTGCATAGCCAGTGACTTTGCCCATACAGATGTAACTGGGTCAATGTGACATAGATTGAATCCAGTTTAGTTTCTGATATCCACAGTTTGTTGTATTTTCTCTTTAAGTTCTGAAATTATTAAAACTTTTCAGAATCTCAGCTTTTATGTTCTGAACAAAGTATTTTTAATTATGCTTGTGGAAAATATTCAAGCTTCTTGCATTACTGCATTTCTTTGAGTCAACCTTCAGCTTTAGTTTTTTTTTCTCCTACTGTAATTTGTATCTTCTCAACTTCTAAGAGGGGGTTTACAGGTGTTTTTTTTTAATCCATGTTGCCTTTGATGCCACTTGCTGAATGACAGACCTTACCCAGTAGGCTTGTATTGGTGTTCAGGGACTAATTGTGCTTGATGTGGGGAAGCTGAGCTTGACCCACTGTGTTTCCTTCCCAGTGTTGCAGTTTCTGACTTGAATCAACCCTGAAGACGATTTGAAGCATAACGAGAAAGCACCTTGGAAGTCGAACCATATCTAATTATGTGATGTGTGTAAACTCTCAAAGTATGAATGTTAGTCACCAGAGCTATGTGTTGTGAGATTCCCTGGTCTGAAGACAGAGAAAGCAATCAAGGGCAAGATTGATCTCATAATGATTTTTATGGATGCTGCACCACACGTCGTAAAGTTTTGACTTGTTACAGAGATTCCATAAATGTTCTTGGTTAATAAGGGTGAAGTGACATGGTCCTTTACAAACACGTTGCAAAGCATCTGTGTCTCTTATAAGTGCATCATAAAAGGGAGAAAGGGAAGAAGAGAGAGAGAGCGAGGGAGAAGAAATTAAGTCATATAAAAGGATGTGAAGTGAATGGAAGACAAATGGGAAGTGAATGCACATTGGGCACTCTAGATGTACAAGCAAAGCACAAGGGAGCTCTAAAGACAGACTGGATGATACATTGAGAGAGGTACAAGACATGCATGCGGAAAATATTGGTAGTGAAGCTCCTCTCTTTTTTTGCCTTTTGTCTTTTATAAACCTGCCTAGAGGATTTTTTTTAGCTTCAGTGTGTGCTGATATTAAGTAACTTTTCTTTCCTTAGCCCTGGTCAACTTTTCTTAGAGATCACACTTTTGAACCGCTGTTCAAGGTATTTTCTTAATGAATAAAGTTGAGAGTGTTGATTAAAAGTGTTGATTCAAAATAAAAATGGAAGTGAAGAAACCAAATGAGGTAAAAGTAGCCGTCCGTGTAAGCATCCTGCTTATGGAGGTGATGTTGCCGAATGCTTGCCCATCACACATGTGGACTTCAGTGTGTGCAAAAGTGCTGCCACCAGGACATTCCAGCCCTGGGGTGGTGGCGGCAGGGGACAAATTAATTTGCTTGGTAAGAAGGGAGATTTGCCATTCCCGGATGTGTTTGAGTAAGATGTTGGCTGCCAATTGCAACGGGGTCCTATTCCGCTCCAACTCAAAAAATTGGCAGTGTCATAGCATCAGCTGCCTTTCTGAAGTGGTCATAGAATTAAAACAGTGGCACCCTGTTTACAGCAATGTGTGAGTGCCTGCAGGTGGGAAGCATGGAAGGCAGGTTTACGTAGCAAGCCCATACTGAAAACAAAATGAAGCAGATTTTTCCAATGAAGTTGCAACACAGGCCTGCTTATAGGTGCTGTTGTAAGCTTTCCAGGCCTGCTTATTAAGGGGTTCTCTGTGGAATTGAACATTGCCTTCCTCGGTTGGAGGGTTAGCAATCAAGTGCTTATCAGCTGGTTAATTTCTCCCCTAGCGCTAAGTGGACATCATTTGTTACCTTTTGAAAATGCACCCATGTCTGGATACTGAATAAATGAGGGAGCAATTTGTTATCAAGTCGTAGACCAATAACCCTCCTCCTTCCTGTTTTCCCCCACCTAAGCTTGCAAGATTGGATACTACAAGGCCCTCTCGACTGATGCAGCTTGTGCTAAGTGCCCACCTCACAGTTTCTCCATCTGGGAAGGCTCAACCTCTTGCACCTGCGACCCAGGCTTTTTCCGATCAGAGAATGACGCTGCTTCCATGCCCTGCACTCGTAAGTCAGGCTCCTTTTATTTATTAATTTACCTCTCCTCCTTCTCTTGCTGCTTTAATAATTTATACAGGAAACACTCCCCAGAGATGTACATCCTGCTATGAAAAGTGTCTTGTTGGTGACAGAAACATTCAGTAACAATTCCCTTTTAAACAAGTCAACACAACATGTCAATACTGGGTCCCCTCTCCTGGTACACAACGGAAAATGAAATTTGCAATTAAGTGACAGTATGTAGGTCAACGGCAAGAAAAAGAGGCTCTTGTCCTCCCCTCTTTCTCCCCCCCCCCAATCTGTATTGTAGAAGTGCCTGAAGGCTCCACTGTGTACATATAATGAGGAACAATCACAGACTTGCATATCTGAGCATAATCAGAAAATGAAGGAAAGAAGGAAACAGTGTCACGTAAAAGCTGATTTGGGGAGAGAAGTTTCTTTTTGTGTAATCTTTTTAATGGACAAAGTTTCCTTGTGCAGTCTTAATCCATGAGCTGAGTCACAGAGCTATTTTTTACACACTTGTTTACGTGGTAAAGCCACTATGTTTTGGCACCTCAGGCCAGGTGCCTGATTTTGTCGAATTCATTGCCTGCATGTTATTAGGGAAGAGGCAATTTGATACATTTGGTTTATTCATCAAATTAATTAGCACGTTGTCTTCAGGTAAAAAAGGGTTGTTGTGACTCAGCCATTACTTTTGTGTGTGTGTGTGTGGCGGGGGGGCTGGCTGTCACACAACACATTTCTTAGACTTAAGGTTGGAGTGAGGAGTGGAAAAAAGGCAATGTACTACTGTCTGACTTTCAGATTCAGTTATTGAGCAGGCACATTTCTTAGACTTAAAGTTGGAGTGAGGAAGGGAAAAAAGGCAATGTACTATCTGACTTTCAGATTCAGTTATTGAGCAGGTTAAAATGGAAAAAAGACAGCTAAACGTACTCTCATCATGTTTCTGGAGCTAAGAGCTTGCTAATGTTTCATCCAGCTATTCTTAAAGATGCTTTATACATATTCAGAGGAATTTCTTTGCACAAGACTGTGAGCAGTTGTAAAACACTTTCTTTAAGGTTGCTTGTTTGTTTACGTGGACTTTCCTCAGCACATAATGACGGATGCTGTTCATTTTTTATTTTTCTACCGCAGATTGATTATATTTATATGTACATTTGGACTATAATTTTGCCATGTGTATTCTGTCAACTGCTCAGAAATTTCATTCTGTAAACTGGAATATGAGTATTATAAATAAGGGAGGGGGAACCTTGGTTCGACACGAAAAGGAAGTCAGGATATTTACAGTATTCTCTCTCTCTCTCTCTCTCTCTCCCTCTCTCTCTCTCTCTCTCTCTCTCTCTCTCTCTCTCTCTCTCTCTCTCTCTCTCTGTTTTCCTCTGCATTCTTCACCTTTCTCACTGTTTTTCCAAAACACTGTATTTGTAGCAGTTAGGTTACACAGGTTCTTCATTTGTGTGTGTGAAAAATGAACTGAGAATATTAGTTATAATTAATGGCATGTGTGACATCAAGGTGATTCCAACAGTGAGGAATCAAACTCCTGACCCCAGGCTTAACAGGCAGGTGCTCCATCCCCTTGGGCCGTAGCCAGCTTTAAATTCTTGAAGAGCAGAACCAACTCTGAGAGTGCATGCCAAGAGGATCTTGTGAGTGAGAGAATTAATTTAATTTCACAATACAGCTTGATAACATGCTAAGATGGGAAAGATGGTATCATGAAGGTATAAAATTTCATATAGCTGAACTCAACTGTTGTGGTTGCCCTCTGGCATGTTTCGGCAATTAACAGCTAGGAAAATCAGGATGCGTATTACATAACACGGAAAGATTAATTAATCCAGCACTCCCTCTTTGTCTGTGCTGCTGTATGGAGGCTGGGTAGAATGACTGAAGAACTTCATGGTATTAAAACAGTGTTGAAGGTATCAGCAGAATGAAAAATCTGAAATAATCTGAAATTTCTGAACCTATATTGGTTGTTGTTGTTTAGTCGTTTAGTCGTGTCCTTCGTGACCTCATGGACCAGAGCCTATATTGGAGGACATATATTGGAGGACATATCTAACATAGGGGAAGCTTTGTAACTGGAAACTTGTCACTGCCTCAAAGCTTTGCACAGATACCACTTCACATTTTATCCCATCCCTTTATTCCTCAGTAGAGAAGAGAAGATTCAGCTTTCTACCCCAATACATACCCCATGTTTAGCATGCAGTAGTGACTGCATGTTTGTTGCAAGGAATGTTAGGAAATGTGGGTTTTTTTTCTTTCCCCCAGAGCATTACTTTGTGATGCTAGTAACATCTGGAAAGCTGCATTTCCCGGCGGTCCTTGTGTTTGCCAAGCAGTCATAGAAATATGCCAGATGTTAGAGAAGAAAAGGAAGAAAAAGAAAGATTTCCCCCCTTCTTCAGCTGTCATTAGAGAAAACAACAAAGGCATCTTATGTTACAGATTAAATGTCCTGATTGGCACCCAGTACCATCAGTTACCAATATTGTTAAGCAACTCTTGATCTTAGCAAGCATAGCAGCAAGCATACCACTGCCTACAAAGGTGGCTATGATGACCTAAGTGCAAGAGACAGGATATTTCAGTAAGTTAGCTGCTGAGTAAAGTAGAGCTGGCAGGACAGTCTGTCAGTAGACCAGCCAGATATTCCACTTGGCTACCTATAATTAAAATGAACCAAATACTTCTTAATGTCCAGCATGTCACTGTAGCTGGCAGTATACAGTACTTTTAAAAAATACTTAACAAAAACAGTATCAGGGACTGCTTGCGCTCTATCCATGCAGTTCTTGTGGCATTTTCTATTGGCCACCAACTGTAACTATAAGTATTTCCAAAACAAAGGCTGCTTCCAAGGCTCCAGTCTGTTTACAGTAGAAACGAAGGAGCTGATGATGCTGGATTGTATCTAGAGAACAATAACATTTTAAAAATCTGTAACATAAAAATATTTGTTTCACAAAAACAATTAACAACTACTTACTTTTAATTAGGAAAAGTGGATTATTGCAAGTGTTATTTTGTTGCTGTAATCTTAAAAAAATAAAATGTTCTTTAAAAGGAAATACTGGGCCGTTAGTGGACAATATCTGAGCATTCAGTTGACCAAATCTGTTTTGACTAACCAAATGCTGAACAACAGTACTACATTCTTCATATTCTTATTAGATGTGACAGTTTCAGTGTATATGGGACATAGTTGCATGGGTGGCAAACATTTTCCATGGTGGGCTACACGCTTTTGTTGCCCTACTTTTTAAAGTGATTTTGATGAGAATCTTGCAGCTCCAACTCCTTAGCTAATAGACGGCAGCCACAAGACAAAAAGAATCTTATGGATTCTGAATCCTATTATATTAATTGGCTTCCCATATTGTTAACACACAAAGGGAATGGTCACCATTGCAGGCTATATCTTTTCCCCATAGTTTTTTTTAAATAGTTTCTATGGATCTTCCTGGAACTTTTTGTTCTCATCCCTGTTTGCAAGCTGTTAATGTCCTTCTTCCAGAGTGGAGGCAAAACATTCTCTTGAGGCAGGTTGCAGATTTTCTGATTTGGCATCAGGCACCCAAACAGCCTTTGCACCAGCCCCTATGGCTACCTTTCATTTTTAATTAATTCCATTTCCAAGCTCTCTCTTTCTCCCTGATCTCATGCTTCTAATTGAAACAGTAAAACGTGTTCTAGATTATGTCTCTCCTGATCTTTTTAACTTTGTGAGGGGAATGTACTGGTCACCTTCCCTAAATGTATTACATTCTATAGATTCACAGTTGTCAAGAGACCTTGCTATTCTTTTTTTCTTTATTTCAGCTGCTGGCCACTCAATGTCCTTTCACAGTGATGGAGATGACCTAGCTCTGAAGAATGTATTGATTAAATGTGTTGTGAAGTAGTCTGCATATAATTGTTTTGTCACAATAGACAATTAAACCCACTGTTTCACTTGCGGTTACAAGCGGAGAAACCTGAGGGAGTTAAGAGTTGGATAAAGGATATTTAAAATGAATGAAGCTTTACTGAGTAATGGCATGGCCATGTATGGCACATTTTTAAAGAAACAGTTGAAGCAAAGATAGAAATATTTTGCAACTAATTATGCAAAATAGCCAAAACACACTCTCTTTAGTCATAATAAAAATGTTCCACAGGTATTGTTTTGGAATGTAATAACTGCAGAGTACCTTCAATCTGAATCTACAAGTATGCTGGTCTGGACAGATAGCATAGTCATATTGCCTGTTTTATTATATGTGTATGTGTGTGTGGGGGGGACATTCCAAGATAACCTGGAGGGTGATGATATAAGATGAATGGGCAAAGGACAGCATTGATTCTGGATCGCCAAATTGAATGAATATGAGTAGAGCCTACATGTAATTAGGAACCCTTGCTCTGCACTTTTACAGAGATACATCACTTTTCATGTGGAGGACAGCGGTGGCTGAAACCCTGTTGCATTTGACATAGCATGAAGTTATGCCTGCAGAAGTTTGCAAGGAGTTACTCCCAGCAGCCATCATTGTGTGTCTTGTTGCACAGTTGATTGTGCAAATGAGTGTGCAACTGTCCGTGTGGAAGTGCTTGCTGGATAGGACGTCTGCCTTAGTGTGAACTTTGTTACTATTTGAGGAACTCCCAGTTATGCAGGTGTAGCTATGCAGTAAGATTTTGGGCAATTACTGGAAGGGTTAGCTGTTTGTGTGTGTAATGGGTTAAAGCACAAACAATGCCTGTGAATAGGATGATTTCCATTTCTTTAAAAATAGGGATGGGAGGGTTGTAGTTGGCCAGATGGTAGACTGTAGTTCTTGTCATCCCTTATCATTAAATATGCTGGCTGTAAATGTAGGGAATTGCAACCAAGTAGCATTTTGAGAACCACAGGTTGCTCAGTCCTTCTTTAATAGCTCTCGGGATAATTTAGCACATCTTCACCATCATCACAAAACAGCACTGGAATTCCTGTT